AAAAAAAGAAAAAAAGAAAATGCTAACCAGATTCACAAAGTAAAAAAAAAAAGGTGAAAGCTTCTTTTCAGAGAGGAATCTTCATCAAATTTCTTACTGTCATCATCGCGTGATGTAATAATAACCTCTTCACCAGTTGTTCTCATTGGACTTGCACAAATCTTTCTTTCTTCAGGTTGGTGAAAGCTATCGTGAACCTTTAATTTCGTACGTGGGGAACAAGAACACTGGTTATCCCTTCTCGGGAAGAACTCATGTTCGGTTAAGCTCTTTAGCCTTGCTGACAGGCGTCGTTTTTTTATCTCAAGAGCTATATCAAATTCCTCTCTTTTCGAAAATCTTGAAATCGAAAAATCGATTTTGGTCCGCATGGCCTCCGGCGGCTCCTTGAGCTCGAGTTTCTTGAATCTACTGACATTTTCAAAATCTGATCTTTTTTGTGGAGCTTCTTTTCTCAAATGCTTCAATTTGTGCTTCATTTCCCGAACAGAGAAAATCGCCAGTTTCTCGTTAGATTTCTTATGAGAATCCGATTCTTGCAGAAGATCCACAAATGAATCCTTCCTATTGTTCACTCTCAATACTTGCAATGCATCCGAGAAGGGCAATGGCTCGGTGCTCGTCGGTTGTTCACGTACTAATTTACCATCGACAAACATTTGGTCAATGAAAGCTTTTATTGTCATCCTAGCCTGCTGCACGATTTTCTCGTCGGAATCTGGTGAGGTTGTTGAAGGCTGATGATGATTGTCGACCGAGCTTTTGTCATTTGAAGTTGACCGATTTGACTGATATGCCCTCAAATGGCTCGTCTTTCTAGCTGGCTCGTGAGGTTTTATCGAGCGATCGGTAAATTTGGAACCTGCTTTGGGCAGTTTACAATACTTTATGGGAAACTTCTTGTTTTTTTGTCTGTCAATGTACATATCATCCTGAATGAGGCTCCTCACACTTTTTTCAGTGGCACTGTTAGCTGCTTCTTTGTTCTGTGACAAAACAGATTGATATCCATTATTAGTTTACTTTTTTTTAAAAAAAATATTCCTTCTTTTTTTTCTTCAAGTTTTTGCACATAAATGGTTATAGGACACAAATTATAACAAAACTGTAAAAATATATCTAAATTTACACTTATTACTATAGTTTAGTAAAAAAAAATCAAAGAAGACACCACAAAAATATATAATGCAGAATAAGAAAAAAAAAAAAAACATAAAAATGCTTACTTGAGCTTTTTGACATTCTTCATCAAAGCCTGCAGGCTGATTATTTACCTTTCTTGACTTATCTTCTGCAACAAACACAAATAATCAGAAAGGAAAAAGAAGAAAAAGAAGAAGAAGAAGAAGAAAAACACGAAAAGGGAAGAAGCTAAAGTACCGGTAATGTTCGATTTCACAGCCCGTCTGCTCGAAATCAGCTTAAAAGGACTCGGATAGCCTTGGCCGGAGTTGAGGATGCTAAAAATACCGGCCCACATGCATCTCAATTCATTTTTCTCATTCTCACACAGTTCTTTATCCATTTTTGCTCGTCAAAACTCTGAAAAAACTCCGGCGAAAGAACCTCCCTAACATAAAATATTAGAGGGAAAAAAAAAGCACAACTCAATACTCATGTAGAAGGAGCATTAAGACAAACACAGCAACAGACATAACTACTGTAATAAAATCTTGTGCAAGAGCAAGACACTTTACCAACTTACTGTTCTTGTGAAATTATGGATGCCTTGCAAGTGACTCAACTTAGAGCAACAAAGCCCTTATTATGTGTGAAGATAAAAATTATAAAATGAAAAAAAAAATAAAAAAAAAATAGTGTTTAATTTGGTGCTATGTGTGTGTGTGTGTGTGTGTGTGTGTGTGTGTGTGTGTGTGTGTGTGTGTGATTTGGTTCTATTGCTAGCCAGTAATGGATAGTGATTGGTCTGAAGTTGACTAATGAAAGAATAAGTAACAGAATTTTGGTAATATTATCAACCACTACTAGGAATATCTTTCAACTCAAGGAATAAGATCTTGAATTTATTTTAACTTTTTTTTTTTTTTTTTTGTTATAATATAACTGATTTTATTTAATTTTTTTCTCCTTGTGTTTGTATATGGACAAAAACCTTGTGACAAATTCAAATATTTTGATCCTTAGCATGTTGAAATTTGGTGCCAATCTATCCCAAAAGTTTAGGGTAACTAAAAAAATGACAATTGATTATTAATTTATTTATTTTAATGAAATGGTTTTCTTCAAAGATTGTGGTATTTTTTTATTATTTTTATTAATAAACTAAATTAAATCTGTGGTACAATTTTTCTATATTATCCATTTTTATAATGTTGCCATCTATCTCAAATTGGTTGTCAATTAGTTTGACACAAATAGCAGGTCACTGAAATAATTATGGAGACTTGTTTGATTTTAGAATTTAGTATGAGAATTAGGACAGGTGTCCCAAAAATAATGATAGGACAATTAAGGAAAACTTTGTTAATATAATTGTTAGCGAAACATTTAATAAAATTATTTGGTTTTCCTCTATTTCTGGTTACAAAATTTATCATTAATATATTTTTTTAACTTTTCACATTAATACACCATATTAAATGTAACTATGTATATTTTGCTATTATATATAGATAATAGTTAATGCTAATACCAACTAATAATAATTTACACTAAATACAAATTACATAAGTATAAAAAATTCTATTGTTTCAAGCTATTTATTTTAAAATCAATATTATCGTTCTCTCTTTTTTGTATCTAAAAACTATTAGTAAATAATTTTTATAGAATAGTTAAACAACTTTTATGTCTAATCAGAAATTGGTAAATAATAATAATAATTTTTCAACTAAATTATTTGACCATGATCCCTCCAAGATATAAAAATTTACATTACGCACAAAATTTTTTCAATCAATATAGTGATTTATATGTACTCAAATAAATTATATTTATATTATTTATTTTTACTAATTATCAAATCTTGAATATGTGATATGTTCATTATCTAGAATTTTAATATTAAATTCACATTATAATATTTTATGTACATCAGTATATGTACATCAGTATATGTGCACGGGATGATTACTACTTGGAATTGGATAATAGTATACTACATTAATAGTACTACATTTGCTTAATTTCTGCCAATTATTGATGCACCAACTTTTAGTTGGCTTTTTTAATGGATGCTCCAGGTTTTGCCTCAACACATTAAAGACTTTAAGAAAATGACCATTTTTGGTGCAAACATCATTTAATGGGGACATACTCCTTATTTACTGTGTTTGTATTTATCAAACATGATTAATAAATTGAAAGAAAAAAAAAAGTACAGGGGCTGTCCCATTAATCCTAAAAAAAAAAAATATTGTCCGGTTTATTTATTGGTTAATTATGACAAGAAACCAATAAATTTTATATTAGTTAAGTAATAATTGTTGTAAATATTAAGTTGTGGACATTACCTAGATATAGGATTTGTAGGCATGGGCCAGGAGCCCATTAGGTATTTACTCATGTACATTATATTCCCTTATATATAGGACTCAAGTGGATGAATAAGATGATGGTTTTGACGGCGTATCTCTTCTCTCTTATTCTCTTCTTCTTCTTCTACTGTTTCTATCTTTGTCTATTTTACACATAGATTTTGCATATTGTCAATCTATATTACAATACGTTATCAGCACGAGCACTCTAACCAACTGAGCGAACGACGATGGCATCAAGATAACCAGGCAATCAAGGTAACAATCAAGAATTGATTTATGCCCTAGAAAAGAATCTTGTCTTTTCTGTCAAAGTAACATTCAAGATCTATTCAATATCAATAATGATCTATTAGTTTTATCAATTTTAATTATATTTATTTATCTCTAAACGATTAGATTGATGATTTTTGTATGAGTTATGTGAATAAATAATTTAATGTGTATTTCCGCTATTGAATAGATCTAATTAATATTGTGTTTGATCTACTCGACACCAATGGCCTCTTTATTGGATGATAATGATGAGTATGTGATTTTGTTATCCGTGCCTTCCAAATATATCAATGACTCAGATTTTCTTTTGCTGATCATTCTCTTGCCACGAGTATTATATTCGTTCTGTGAAATTGATGCAAGAGTTATTTCCGGACGTGTGTTATATCAATTCGAATTAATTTTGGATTCTTGACTTCTGTGAATTGCGTACCGCAAATATATATAAGTGTTGTTGCTGGAATTATTTCATTGGATAAACTCATGATTACATGATGCTGGTGGCTTTATTTTAATATTAATGTTAATGATCATAAAATTGTTTTACTTTACGTGGATTCTTCGTAAGTTATTAAATGTCCAAATCATGCCAATTAATTGATGCTCATTATATGTAGTAAATTAATGTAATGATCGTTATCATAATAGCAGATATGTTTATGTGCCTATTTTGTATGAGAGAAAGATTATATATAAAAAGTGGTGGAAATATTGGATATAAATTATTTATGTTGTATAGCTCAATTTATGATCATCTTTGTAATATGGTTGGATTAGAAGATAGAATTGTGCAATTATGAAATAGTGCAGTATCTATCTATCCAAATTTATAAGGTTCAATTGAATACTAGTAGTCCCAGAAAGACACTAATATTAAATATTGATGGATAGAATAATTAGAACAATGTTTTACCTGTCGATAGCTTGTAAGTCGACAACAAATTTCTTATACACTCCCTGAAGGATCTTTTACAAGTTAACGATAATATTTTTATATACTCCCCGATGGATCATCATCGATGTAAGTATCTCCCATAAATTCAAAATAAAGTTTTGGTATACTCCCTGCAGGACCAACACCAATACAAGTATCAAAATAAAATAATGACTACACTGTGAGTAAGTCTTGATGACTAATTTTGAATTAAGATGATATTGAATATTTTATGATCTATTATGAACAGTTTGTATTCCTGAAGTAATACATGAGAATAATGAAATCCAACCAAATCTATACTCATGGACACAATATATTACGAATAGTGATATAAAAGTAGTTTATTGAGATTGTATTAGTGCCAGAAGCACATATATAAAAGTCTAATTGTCATATAAGATATTTGATAGAAGATTGTCTCTCTTCTATATGACTATATGTTTCATTGGTTTAATTGTCTTATATGAGCATCTCTTGTTTGATATGCATCATATCATTCTTCACATTACTTGTTAAGATTTGATAGTGATAACACACGTATGATATGTGTAGCAGACATTATCCTATGGGTAAGAATTATTTACAATGATGAACAAAAAAAAAATAAAATATTATATATCTTATGAAATGAAATCTCTTATACTTCAATTGTCATACTCCTGAAGAGTTATAAAATAAAAATGTCCACATATATTATTAATTTGTCCATGCATCTGATTACTCATGAAGCATATGTGGATTAATTTTAACATGTGAATAGTGTGTGTTGTTTGGAATATATATGGTGAAGCTATCAAAATGTGCACTACGACATGAATTTAGTTTGAAAATAATAGTTGCATATTTTGTTCCGCTGTTTTATGTATTGAGTATTGACGTGATCCAAAGTTATTGAGCCTAAATCAATTTAAATATCTTCAACTTTAGTCTAATTGACTAATGAACGGTATGCAATTTGTATAGTCATAAATTGCAGAGCAAATATCCTCTTGAATTTTATACTTATAGATATGAGTTTCCCTGAAGGATTATATAATTAAAAGTATCACTAGTGAATTTAAATATCAACCTAGATTTGGTTATCCTTGAAGGATTGGTCCTGTTGACCAGTACCATAATTGCATAAGAATTATCTAGCGAGGATCTTTGACAAATTGATCTAGTAAGTAATCTCGTTGATTTTTGGATAAATTCGTGATTTTTTTTATTTTAGATCAGCTCTGCATATTCAACATACTTTTAATGAAGTTATGTAACCAGAATGTTACATAGATTGAATCTATACAAAAGTATTATGAAATTATTTATGTTTGCTTGTATATTTGATAAGATGCATACCACAGACTTATATTGTTGATAGCTATAATGTTAATTTATATGTGGTGCCTGAAGCATATAATATAGTTTATAGCTACAATAAAAGGCTCACAAGCAAAGTATAGTTGTAGTGCCTGAAGCATATAGTGTTCACTTAGAAATGATTATTATACTTCGATGCCCAACTTATATATTGATAATTAGCATGAGCAGCTGGATCATATTGGGCAATTATTTATGAAAATTTTCCCCTAATATGCGTGGAGAATCAAGCATTTCCCATCTGCAATTTATTTTTATATTCTTTTATCACCACCAATTCGTACCTTTATGGGCCTATATTACAAACTAGGTATGCTATTTTTTTTATATACTCCGTTGAATCTTTAATACCTAGAGGCCCTTATGGGGATCAGTTTATTATTTGGTACGTGTTTTGCATAATACATGAAGATGATTTCATGGCATTAGGGGGAGATATAAGCATAAGTTTATTAA